AGATAGAGGGAAGGGGACTCTAGGGTCTACGAATGCTGGCAAATTTACCTTGGGTCTCCTGATGGACTGAAAGCAGCAACACAACTCTAATCAATGAGGTCCGACACCAAAATCTGCACAGAAAGTGCAGAGTGCATTATCAATAGAACCGATCTTATGTACTAGTAAGTTCTGAGCCTAACCTCGGTGAAGTAGTGACATGTGAAGTTAAATAATATACGAGGAAATAACAATAACAGAACTTTAATAGAAAATAATGGGAAGGGAAAAACATGTTGAGGGGATTGCAAAAATAAGAAGCGCCACATTAGAGAATTTTAACAGCTAGTACACCTTGAACCAATAACAACAAGTAAATACAGTAAGGGCAAAATGCACGGCATCACCCTTCGTGCTTTTACTCTCAACCTCACCATATAAATCAGATAAGAATGGCACGGCATCACCCTCCATGCTTTTACTCTCGTCTTTACCATTAGAAATAATAGAAACGACACAGCATCACCCTTCGTACATTAACTCTCTCATAACATAACATGGCACGACATCACCCTTCATGCATTATCAATATCAGAATACGGCACAACATCACTCTTCGTGCATTAACACTCACTCTTAATATTTTGCACGACATCATTCTTCGTGCTTTACACTCTTCCTCACCCAAACAACTGAAACAATAACAACCTAGCAAGGGAATCATCAATAACCAACCTCGTTTCAACATTTAACTTCACAATATAAATCTCAACTTGAGTCAATACTCAACCAATATCCAATATCAAAAAAACATAATAAGACTTATTTAACTTGAAGAATAACCAATTTAAGCATGAACAGTACGTACAAAGATATACAACAGTCATAAGTACAAGACTCACTCGCATGCTATGACCCGACAACAACGTATAGATACTCGTCACCTCACCTATACGTCGTACTCAACAACTAAACACGTAGCAAATAAGGCAACAATACCTAATCCATCAAGCTAATGTTAGCCACAATACTTACCTCGCTTCCATGGGCCACTTTGCTCAATCACAACTTTTCCCTTCATAAAAGCCTCCGGACCAAGAGAATCTAGCAATTTACCTACCAAACGATTCAATTTAAGCCTTAGGAACTACCCACGATAGCAAGGAATTCAATTTAGGTCATTTTTGAAAAAGTCAACACCCGGGCTCGCTTGGTCCAAACCTACAATTCGGATCTAAACCAGATTACTCATTCACCTCTGAGCCCGGATATACAATTGGTTTCGGAATCCGACCTCAATTTGAAGTCTAAATCCCCAAATTTCGAAATTCCCAAGTTCTACCCAAAATTTCCGATATCACCATGAAAACTCTAGATTCTAAGATGAAATCTTGTAAAAAGAAGTAAAATAGTGAAAAAAACGAGTTAAGAATCACTTACTTATGATTTGAGGAAGAAGAAGTGTTTGGAAATTTGCCTCTTATGTTTTAGGGTTTGAAAAATTGAAAAATTGAAAAATGAATGAAAATCCCCGTTTATATAGCAACCATCTGATCTATACTATGCGGTCTGCGAAATTTCGGGCGCGGTCGCGTACCTCACCGCGGTCCGCGAAATTATGGGTACGACCGCGAACTTTGAGCCTTACCCTACCGCGGTCGCGAAGTCCCACCGCGGTCCGCGAATTTCATTTCGTGGTCGCGCTCCTATGATCGGAGACCTGAAATCTCTGCAACTATTTAACACGAGGTTTTCTAAGTCTAAAACATCCCGTAGCCTACCCGAAACTCATCCGAACCCTCGGGGCTCCAAACCAAATACGCACACAAGTCTTAACACATCATATGAACTTGCTCGGGCGATCAAATCGCCAAAATAGCATCTAGAACTACGAATGTAGTACCAAATTGCATGAAATTTTCAAGAAAGTTTCAAAACTTCTAACTTTTCAACTAAAGGTCTGAATCACGTCAAATCAACTTCGTTTCTCACCAAATTTCACATATAAGGTATAAATATTATAATGGACCTGTACCGGGCTTCGAAACCAAAATACGGGCCCAAAACCAACAAGTTCAAATATTTTTAAATTTCTAAAAACTATTATATTTTTCAGTTTAACAATTTTCTTCAAAAATTCATTTCTCGGGCTAGGGACCTCGGAATTCAATTCTGGGCATACGCCCAAATCCCATATTTTTCTACAGATACTCCGGGACCGTCAAATCACCAGTCCGGGTCGATTACTCAAAATATTGACCAAAGCTAATTAAAATCACTTTTTAAGGCAAAAACTTAGTATTTTTTTTCAAATTTGCACAAAAAGGCTTTCCAGAAACACGTCCGGATTGTGCACGTAAATCGAAAAAAAATAAGGTTTTGAAGACCTCAGAGCCCCAAATTAGGTTCTAAAACACGAGATGACATTTTGGGTCATCACATATCCTTTCTATTCCAATGACTATGTGATGAAAAAATAATATAAAAAATTAAACCCCAAGTTCGCTTATGTTGGGCCGGGCCATGATTGAAACCTTTGTTTTATGAATCAATCCTACGCCCAAAAGAATTACAAAAGTTGTTGGAGTTTCATTTGAAGCAATTGTGAAATTTTACCTATTTGGATGACTAACACAAACTTTACAATTATTTTGTTTACATTTTGGAGGCAAGAATTTGCATAATATGAAATCCTAGATCTTAAACTTAGGACCGTTTGGTTATAAGTTTTGGGGGCTTATTCTTAAAAAAAATTGAAAACAATATTTGTTCATGGATAATTATCAGTTTTTGGATGAAAATTTTTTCCACTCACAAAACTTTAACTTTTTTATCATATAAAATGCACGTACAAATACAACTTCAACTTCCAAAAATTATTTTTCAACGCCTTCAAAAATTTCTTTTTCAAGTTTCATCCAAATTTTTGTCCATAACGCTAGCTTAATACTCTACTTATATATACTTTTATACGTAAGATATTTTCTTTTCTCTATCATTTTGGATGGATCCTGTCATATATGGTTTATATATTCTCATAACATAGAGTTAATGTTTCGTGACAATGACCGGCAAATTGCAAATCATGCAGTGAATTGCTGATATTTTCAGGTGATGTTATGTCTGTGGATCAAATAAGTGATGTCATTTTCTAGCATCTTGGAAAAGAAATTATTAGCAGAATACTGTATCATGAATTGGTTTACTTAATTTGTTTTAATTAAAAAGAGTTAATTTTACTAAAGCAACCTGCAACTTGAAATAAGAGGCCTCGTGTCAATCACGTTCATATAGAGTCAATTAGTCAAATGATCGCTCAATTTTCTCAAATTATCTCCTAAAGTTACTTTTCTTTCGTTTGTAACAACAAAGTCACTGAACTATGCCTATTGCACTCAGAAGGTCACTCAACTAGATTTTTCAAATTTTGGATTGTCAAACACCTATTTTACCCTCTAAATTATAAATATTTATCTTCTTTTATTTTTTATACTTTTCAATATTATGATTTTACCTTTTTAATTTATATTATGGGCTTACCTATATAATAAATAAATATTATTTATGAATTAAAAAAAGTATTAAGCATCTAGAATGTTGGATAACAAAATAATGATCATAGCAAAAATATTAATTAGAATAATTTGTTCATAATAATAATTTTAGTATTAACAACAAAAATTCAAAAAAATTATTTACACAATTCAGAATGAAAGAAAATAAAGGTTGTAAAATATATATTCGATGCATGTAATATAAAAATAATTATTTAAATAAAAGTATTTTTATAATATACATTATATATTCTTGAAAATTAATGCAATTATATTGTATATATTCCATACACGACTTAACATACCATATTTTACCCTATACAGATAGTCCCGGTACTTTCCGGTGACATAACTTTGTGTCATCGGAAAGTTGGTAGAAACATAATAATATAATTGTGCATAATTTTCAAGAATATATAATGTATATTATAAAAATACCTTTATTTAAATAATTATTTTTATATTACATGCATGGAATATATATTTTACAACCTTTATTTTCTTTTTTTTTGAATTGTGTAAATAAATTTTTGAAGTTTTGTTGTTAATTCAAAAAAATATTATTACTAACAAATTATTTTAATTAATTTTTTTTTACTATGCTCATTATTTTGTTATACATGCTTAAATACTTTTTATTTTTTAATTTATAAATAATATTTATTTACTCTATAGGTAAGTCCATAATATAAATTAAAAAAGAAAAATCATACCATTAAAAAGTTTTAGAAAAAAAAAAGAAGATAAATGTTATAATTTAGAGGGTAAAATAGTTATTTGGTAATCCAAAATTTGGAAAATCTAGTTGAGTGACCTTCTGAGTGCAATAGGCATAGTTCAATGACTTTGTTGTTACAAACNCAAATTAAAAGTTACTAATCAACAGGAAAAGAGAGAATATTTAGAGAGTTAATTTGTAGATAGCTAAAAGGATAATAGTGCTTTCGATTCCTTAATTGTTGACTAATCTAATTTTGCTGATCGTGGTATTCACATAAAGTCACTAGAAGAAAACAAATGAGATATTTTTGTAATATTTTAGCAAGTTGAGGGAAATTTTATATACAAAATGTTGTCTACTTACTTTTTTATGATAATGCAGAAAAAATCAATGATATTTAAGTGAATATCCATGAAATTACTCTTCAAAAGTGAAAATCTCACCGATTTTTATGTCAAAATAAGGAATATTAAGAGAACGTTCACTTAGGATAAACATTGAGTAGTAAATTTTTTAATGTTACAATCGATGAACCATTATATATGTAGAAATTACTCAAGCAATTTACCTCTTAACCTTAAAAAATGCATAATTATTTACTAAATTTGTTATTATTTCCCTATGTTATAATGTTTTTTGTGTTACGTTGATTAGACAAATAAAATATAAATACTTCTTAGAAGAGGGAATAGCAGAGAGCTCTCCGTCAACATGCTTGCTTCCTCACGAGGGTAAATTGGTCATTTCATGCGTTATTATGCTTAAATTGTCTATTGTGCCCGTTTTTGTTGTTAACGTGTCTGATCTGGAGTGGAGTCCAAAGCTACTTTGCTACCGTGTCACGATGTCAATCACCACTGCACTCTCTTGGTTAATCTGTTTCTCTCTCCTCATGCCAACGTTCAAAGTTTTGTTATTCCAAGGTAATTCGATAGTTCAAAAGTTAGTTTATTGATCTATGTTTTCGTACGACGAAGCTTCATCTCTGTTCTTGTGACTTTCTGATTTTGTGTTTTTCCTATAGCCTTTAATTCCTCTGTAAGTTTCTTTTTGCTTTATATTTCACTTTGTTTTTTGAATGTTTATTGTCGTCTGATTGCGTCGCCCCAGCTTTGTAATTGATTTGTTTTATTGACATGCAAATGGGTAATTTGTGCAAAAATTGGTTTGATCCTTGCAATTTTTGACATTTTACAGCTGGATAACACTCTATTTCGTAGTCTGCGACAAACTACTTAAATTTAATTTGATTTTTACGCCATAGATCACCAAAAAGTTTATTGTCAGATCTGATGCAAATGGTAAAGAGAAACATTTACAGTGATGGAAGTTCGCATGTAGAGCAACGATTTCTCACTGTGAATGATTAAGCTATGAGATTGTAGTTTAGCTATGAGATCATACGACTTTGCACATGTCCTTGATACAGAAAGCTTAATGAAGCAGTGTTAAAAGCAAAGCTGCTTTTTTGCTTAAACATTTGAAGAATATGTTGCATAAGAATCCCTATAGGCATGATTACTAAGTGTAAATAGTTAGAACATATGTGTGCACAATCTTGAGAACAAGTCTCCATATGGAGAAGGTTGGCTCCTAGCTCGCTGCAGTCCTAGAAATTGCTCTACTATTACTATGGAAGTATTTTCAATTTTATTTCTTTAATTATAAACCTATTTACCTTCTACACAATTCTGACTACGAAAGAATCTGTAAAGTTCTTACAAATGTAAATTGATCTTGTGTAGTTTTAGAAGCACGAAGCTCGTCGATAAAAGATGAGATAAACACTAAAATAACCTCTAGATCTAATAGTTACAAATACAAAATCCAGTTTCACTATACAACCTTGGTCAGAGTGTAGCCCAGATATACATAGGTCCAGTTAAAAAAAAAAAGAAAAATACTTCTGATTTACTGCTCTTTATGATTCTGCCACAGATTTGCAACGTTTTTCATACTTGCCCCTGCTATATTTCTTAACATTCTGATAGTTTTCAGTAGCATAAACGAATACTGTATTTTGACAAAGTTTTCCCGCATTATTAAATTTGGTGTGTACGTTTAAGATATTAGGGAAATAACATTGTAATTATGGTACCTATTACTTTCATATATGCTGCTCCCTTGAAAGGTTTACAACTTCAGCTTCAGTCTTTCACTTTAACCATTGTCTTGAACTCATCTGATGAAGAATGAAACTAACATACCAAAACCAAATACACATTTATTTAATTTTTCAAATGATAGTGTATTTTACAATAGAATAACTTTGTCATAGCCTTATATTGAATTCATCTACCTTTCTATTGTCAGTAGAATAAACAACAAACTCTCCTGCTTAAAGTCTACTGAGGTACTTTTTGGCTTGATTTCTGTGAACTATTTGAAATGCAGATATCTCACAATAATAAGTTTGTGAAGAAATGTCTTCTGACCGAAGGAACAAACATATACAAAAGATACAAAAGAGGAATCCTTAGTGGAAAAACTTATTGCAGAAGCATCTGTAGGAGAAAATTGTTGTATTATTATATTCATCACCGATGTCTGGTATTTATATTGCCACAGTCCTTAATAAGTTATAATCACTGACATCCCTGCTAGGGCTAAAACATGTGAACTTATTTAGTGGAAAATGTGTGAACTTGTAGCTATCTTTTTTTCGAGATTAACAGCACTGCACAAATGACATTCCTCAAACAAACAGATAAAGCACTTGGAGCAAATTAAAACACATGTATAGCCCATCAAAGCAGAAAAAACTAAACAATTCACGTACGGTAAAGTATCATTCAGCGAAATAAACCTTTTAACATGCTAATCAGAAAAGTTATAGAAATTATGTACATCAGAAAAGATGAAATTGCATATTTAAATAATGAACAAAACCTTGATGTTATTTTTATATGTCAGAACTTGCTAGATTCTAAACTCGTTAAGGTTTTTCTCATTTTGATTGAATAGTAAAACTGGATATTTATTTCTCATAAGTTCTCTTTATATAGAAAAAACTATTGTTGCTATTAGACTGTGGGTAGTCTTGATATTTTCAGATTCATCTCTGAATTAACTCTCAGTAATTCACATCAATGCCACAATGATTACATTTACTGGGCAGTTTGCTGATGCATTTATGACCGTAATAACTGATGAACTTGTACATTCCATTTCATTTTCCTTGTACTCTAAACCCAAAATGTCATATATGCTATGCAGCATGTGCTACATCTATATCTGGGTGGTCATGAAGAATAACAACTTCTATCTTTCATATTTTATTTCTTGTGCAACTATAATTTGAACCTTACTATTTTGTGTCAGGATTGGTTAATCTGACTTGTCTATGTCCGCGCTCATAAGCATACTCTACAATATTTTTAGAGTATTGTACAAGTGGTCTGTCAAGTCCTTGCTTAAACATAATGTTTATCTATACATTTTACAATTATGTCTTCTAATTATATAATGGTTAGATTATTTCACTGTTGCTAGAGTTGATTTGACATAATAGTTTATCATCTTTGTTGATAAATTTTTTAATTGTTGCTATCCTACACAGATTCATATCAGCAGGTACTGCTGGAAGACCATATGACTTTGGCATTGAAGCTTCTGTATTTGTTGGTTTGTACATCCAAAGCATTCCACTGACTTAAAATAACAAAATATTAGAGAAATAGATAGCTTATAAAGAGTAACATTTCTGTGATAATTATATAATCTTCTATTTCTCTTTTGGACACAAGCTCATTCCTTGCTGATATTGTAACTATACCTCAATTTATAATAGCAAAGCTTTGTTCATGTTGGGCTCGGGCAAAGCCCGGTCTACCCTTACTAGTAAACTAGCTACGCAGGAACTACTAACGTTCCACATCATCGCATCCATTAATACAAGACAATTCAATATCGATCCGACTTTTGTTTTGATTTTTCATTCGATCTGCAATTCTATATTAAAGTCCGACTAATTCAGATTCAAGTTGCATAAGACTCATTAAAGAAGGAAGCGTTTCCTATCGGAAGTCTATTCATTTATAGAGCTGGAATCCTGGATCTCTAAATAACAATGGAAAAAATCATATTCCTCTACCATAGGTGGTATCGATCATAAATTTCTACACAAGCTATACATCATAGTAGGGTTTTTTTTATTTCCCATTCGGTATTCGGTACCCATATTGTGACGCGATTAATCTGGATTTGCACGGGAAGTCCTACATTGGGGGTAAAGCACTCCCTAATAAAGACGGCTTTACACCCAGGGGCTCAAACTCGAAATCTCTGATTAAGGATAAAGGAGTAATTACCACTCCACCACAATCCTTATTGATCATAGTAGGTTAATATAGAAAGGAAATGTCCAAATGAAAAATAAAGGAAAGTGAGATCCAGATGGAAGGAAAAAAAAATGAAAAGAGCTAATCAAGATTTATTGTCCTAAAATCATGTGGTGATGGCTTTCCCATTTTATTTTGCTTTTCTCACTCATTGGCCCCTTCTTCCTTTTTCCTATCTAATCCACCTTTTAAAAAGGAAAGAGAATTATACACATCCACAAACCATATATTTTTTTTCCTCATTATTTCTTAAGACTTTATTCTTAGCTTTCCTTTTCTTTTTTCTTCCTCTTGGGAGACATCTCCAAAGAATGTTGTCCTCTCAATCTAAACCATACACGTCTTAGAATCTTACATAGTATACCACCTATGTCATTATTATTTTCACTTTTAACCACTAGGTAAAATAGCATTTGTAGGTAAATTATAGAGTTTGGAAGAATTCGAATATGTAATCATACTACTTAGTTTAAATGTTCCTTGTACTCCATTCCTCTTATTTTATGTTACTTTATTTTATTAAGGCCCCATTTGTTCATAATTTATATATTTTTTAAAAATGTGTTTGTCCATAAAATTTTACAAGTTTTTGAAATATTTTTGAAAATGAGTTTTTCAAATTCAAAATTTTCAGAAGAAACTTTTTCCACCACTCACAAAATTGCAACAATTTTTCAAGTGAAATATATGTTCAAACATAATTTTAAATTACAAATATCATTTTCTCAATTTAACTCCAAATACTACTTTTTTTCAGAAATTACAATTTTTATGTCCAAATGCCTACTAAGTATAAAGTCACTACTAACTACTAAGAGATGAATTCCTCGGTCTTTAACCAGAAATATCACATTTGAACCTTAGAAAATGAAGAAATTCATGATATGGGACATTTCTCTCATAAATGAGTCCTATACAGTGAGTACAATATCGGATGGTCAAATAAAAAAGATAAGTATGAAATCCAATATATTGATTTGATTTGTATATGAATATAAAAGAAAAAGTCAACAAAATTCTCACTCATGCATTTCCAAAATTTTAAATTCTATTGGAGCCTAAAATAATCTTACTAAGCGGTAATTTCGGATCTAAAAGTTGAGACAAAAAATAATACAATAATAACACATAAGGTTAATTGATTTGTCTACATTGAAAAGTTTTCTCAAAAGATATAAAGAAGGGCTATGTTATTCAAGAAGATAGGTGTTTCTCCATTTATAGGAGCCAAAAATTGATTTGATGTAGACTTGGCATTAAAGTTATGTTTGAAAATTCCCTAGTTGCTATAACTCGTAAGTGCACTAGTCTTGATGCCAAATTGTAAACACAAGAATAAATAAATAAGTTACAAAGGAATTCAAATAATAAAAAAGATAAACTTACGAAGAACGTCAAGGAGATCAACACATAATATATACTACAAAAAGGAAATTTAATCAAATATATACTGTAATTTTCTAGCAAAAAGGGGTTCGGATAAACCCCTTTTACCCGTAACTCCGTCCCTGAATATAGGGGCGTATCTAATGTACTAATGATGAGTTCAATTGAACCCATAATTTTCGATGCAAAGTATAATTAATTTGTAAAAAATTATTAAAATTGCAAAAATAGTATATATAAACCCACAATTTTAAAAATATAATGGATTCAATACTAAAATACTTAAAAGATGAACTTACAAAGTTTAAATTCTGGTCCGCCTCGAATAAGTGAACATTTGCTGAAATGTCAAACACTTCATTCTCTTATTTGTTAGATTTACTACAAAGCAGAATTAAATTCACTTATGAGAAAAGGGAAAATACATAAGATCAAGATGCTGAACTTGTCTTCAAAAGTAAGTTTCCAACTCAACTTATACGGACATTCTTTTTCCATTCTATACTTATCCGAAATGAATTTAATACTTTATTGAAAGATGACATGGCAAAGAAAAAAAATCTTCATAAACGCAAGCGAAGAGCCAAAAAAAGGTTAAAAACTCATTAAATAATTACAGAGTTAATCCCATTAAAAAATTTAAAATTTTAATCTATATTAGTGAAAATATTACATCATCACAATAATGGTTCCTCGTGTGTTATTAGAAAAAGAAAAGGGGGTTGATTGCAAATAGATTTGGCGAACTTTTTGCAGGCACATTTTATATTGTCTGGTTTTGGTCAACAATGCTCCAAGAAAATGAAAAACAACTGGTGGCAATTTATTTATTTTAATTAGGTTGCCCTTTTCATGTCTTTATTTGATTTTATCAACACATGAACAACAAGGCACAAATAGGATACCCAAATTAGCTGACAGTATTAATATTCTTTTTCCTCAAAAATATTTTAAATTATTAGGACAAATTTTCTTCGGCAAAGATCAATTTTAGTCCGCCACCGAAATTATTTATATTTGGCAACCGTAAAAATATATAATATTTATATACAATATTATTTTCCTAATTTTTATTCTCATTACAAAAATAAGGGAAACAAACAAAGGACTCCTCCTGGCCCGCATGCCCTTTTCCCACCCAAAAAGACTCCTGACAAAGACCAGAACTAAATAATAATTTTTAAAATATTGAGGAAATTGAAGTTGAGATATTTTAGAAAATAAAAAATTATAAAAAGGAAGGGCATTCACCAAATCATTTTTATTTATAGTCCGGCCAAAAATTAGGTTATTTTGAGAAATGCTTTTTTTCAAAAGTGTTTTTCTCAAAAGTACTTTTGGTGAGAAGTAGTTTATGTTTGGCTAATTAGTTTGAAAAGCACTTCTGAGCAGCAATTAGTGTTTGGCCAAGCTTTAAAAATCTGCTTCTAAGTGTATTTCTCTCAAAAGTACTTCTCAAAAAAGTGTTTTTGGAGAGAAGCTACTTTTTCTTACTTCTCCAAAACTGCTTCCGCTTCTCCTCAAAAGTACTTTTTTTCCTTCCAAAAGCTTGACCAAACACCTCAATTTTTGGCCAAAAATATTTTTGGTAAAAAAAAGTACTTCTGGCCAAAAAGAAGCTTGACCAAACAGGCTATTAATTGAATTTGCTAGTAAGATGCCATAATAACTCCGTAAAAATAGCACGGTATGGCCAGTTTTCGGACTGATCATTCAAAAATAGCCAGCGTTTACGAAGTCAATGAAAAATAGCCACTATTTTGCAGCAACAGAGACCGGTCCAGCATAATATACCGGAGTTCGGTGCACCTGTGTATGAATTCCAGCATATTATGCTGGACCGGTATACTTTGTTGACTCCAGTATAATATACTGGAGACTGGAGCGTCGGTGCTCCAAACTCTAGTATATTATACTGGACAATTATACTTGCTGAAACTCTAGTATATTATGCTGGAGTTCCAGCATACTTATCCTGGAACTCTAGTATAATATGCTGGAGTTCAAACATACTTATGCTGGAGTTCTAGTATAATATACTCGCGTATTTTCCGGGTTTTGAACAGTATTTTCGCCCAGATTTATCTTTACATGAAAAGTGGCTAAATTTTGATTACTTTTAAAAGTGTGCTATTTTTGAACGACCAGTTGTAAATCTGGCTCAACTATGCATTTAGTTATTAGTTTCTTCCTTTATAAAGAAATTATAAAGAGATTCGTGACTCCTCGTTTTTGGTATCCAGTATATTTATGGTAATTTTACTTTTATGGATACTACAGTATTCTAGCTAGTGTTAATCATATATTACCACCCTAATATAGACTACCGTGAGTTGTATTCTCGTTCTCTTTTACCAAATAAAAGTTGGAAAATTATAAGAAATATACAAAATAAAATTTATACTTACAATAACGCACAATACTTTAACAAAATTTTCACATAATATATACACCGTCGAAGAAAACTCATAAAACTAAGAATTTTAAAGATCTTCTCTTTCAAGCGCAACTCCCATGGCTTTATCAACTTTTTTCTCCAAAAAAAAAAATCTCCATTTTTGTTTTCTTACGCCAAAAACTCTTTCTACTAATTAAATTATTTCTTCATTTTTGATGAAATATCATTAAAGATCCATTCGACGCTTCAATTTGAGTTTAAATTTTTTTAGTAATTATATTTTGAGTTGGTATGTCAAAAATCGATTTGAACGTCTATATATTCTACAAAAGGTTAAGATCGGTGTAAATTCGAACTTAGTGAGATTTGGTTAAAAAAAATTAGCGCTTATGAAGGAAAAAAGGCAATCAAAGTGTCTTTGATAGTCATCAAATATTTGTAGTAATTTCAGACTTGATAAATTTACTTAGAAATGCAACCTTTTTCACGTTCTAAGCTAAATATACGTAGTTTAATGCACGTCATTTGTATAAAGAATATGTAAACAATGAGTCACACAACATTTATGTTAAATATGAATAGGAATATCATGATAATAACATAACTGAAAAACTAATAAAGTGTGATAACAAATTAGGAAAATGCCAACATGCATGTCAATAAACAAATTATACGTGAAAATATTCGACATCCAGTTTTAACTCTGTTTTAAG